TAAGAGACACGATTTCATTGTAAATCTATATGAGCCGAATTATTACCATTTGAATCGACGAGCCTAGTCCCTTCTCTCTAAAAACTTACCACATAAGTACCCTCTAATTTAATAAATTAAGTTGCGTAGTTCAAAAGCCTCTTGAAAATTGAGACAAATCAAAATCATTACTTAATCATTATATTAATAATAAAAAATAAGTTAATGGCATTAAGTTTAAATTCCAAAAGTACTTATTCGATACAAATTCTGGGAACCGTTTAAAGAGTTGTATCACAGAAACAATTTTTGTATATGAAACGCTTCCAATATGAATAAAGAAGAGTCAGTTTATCCGTGTTTTGGCTTAATATTATACGTGCTGGCTGAGAATGTAACAGTGTAGTGTGGATTGACTTGATTCTCATGCGTTTGATTAGTTCCTAATCTGCTGCTCCAATTGTTTTAAATTCATTAGTATCCGCTCGTCTTTCTCTGCTCATGCTCGGCTTTTAACCGTAAACTCACCATTAAGTTTCGATATAGTGAATACAGATTCCAGATCCTTTTCATTTTATTATCATCAGACGGAAACTTTATTGTTGTACTTCCCCAAGGAATATTGTATTGTACCGGTTGGTCATTGGCCCATAATCCATTCAGACATCCTACCTATTATGATTTTAAGTAAATTATCTTACAAAGATAAGTTATACATTTAATAAGTTTGATTCAGGATTGAAGTTTTGATACTAACAGTAGTTTTATTTGTACGAAATAACATGACACTTGAAGACATCTATTTCTCCAAAAATCGAATTTTGTCTTTCTCGACACGCTAATGTGATATAAAAAAATCATTTTTCGATAGGGTATTTGACACTATTAAAAATAAGTTGCGTATTGTAATTATCCTGTTAAATAATAATCTAATAAAGTTTATTTCTTAGAATTTGCAGACAAAATATGTTTAGCTTTAGTAAAATAACGTAGAGAAAATGCAACATTTTTAGGAATTTAATAAACGACGAAAACGCCCTGTAATTGGATGTCGTTTATATACAGGTACACAATAACACGTTCTGTTTACCGTTATGTGACGTCACACGTAAACAGGAAGTCACGAAAGAAACACAAAACAGCGTTATTAGAGATACGCATAATTTGTATTTATATATACAATTTGCTCATTATTATAAACAAACCCACAGTAGATACAAACATAAAATTTAACTTCAATTTCTCTTCTGTATTTGTATTTGTTTACTTTTGTAAATAAATAGTTGCTAAATAGGTATAGGTATAGTCGCCTTGACTTATTTACCGGCGTGCAATGCTACAAATAACTATATAATAAATAGTGATTTTGGCTATTTAAACTTTAATAATTATTTTCATTGAAAATAGAACAGGTACCCATGTAATATATTATCATTTAAAATAGTTTTCATAAATATCCAATACCCTATTTATGATGCAACAGAGATAGGACCTGAAATTGCCTCTAATGCAAAGATAATATTCACTCGAAAACGAGTCGTAATTATCAGATTTTTTTACAATAAAAATTTATACTGAGTTAATTTTCAATAATCATAAAATCATAAGGTATAAAATACAAAGCATTAACTGGTGTCCATCTTAATCACATTAAGCAGGGGTCAAGTGCTTGGGTATTAGTGGATCGCCCGATGGCTTAATACTTCAATGATTCCGAGTGGTCGACATTTGCCGTGCTTCGACATGTAACCTGCACAGGTACATTAAATGTAGTCACATTAAATGTATCTGGTAAATAAGAAACGTATACTTAAATGTATTTTTAATTTATTAATTTAAAGGATCTGTTTTTACCGACATACACTAGTTGTACACAGATGGCGCGACTGTATTAGTCTATATTTGAAGTTCTATTTTCGACATCTCTCTCTCAACTCAAGATGGTTTGTGCTTTTTGTTCTCCTAATAAATAATTTGAAGAAATTGGATTACTTTCACTTAATACCGCAATTTAAGGACTGATACCCAACAGTATCTAACTGAAAACAGATTCATAAATGATGAATTCATAAATGATTAAAGATTATGACGATAACATCAACCACAACATTCAATTCAGAATGAATATTTCCTAATCAGGGGTATATTTTATACATCTATGGCTTCGTTAGCGCGTCCTTAGATGGGTTTCTCTAGGGAATTTATCATGGGAATAAAATTTCTATATGATAAACCAGGGTATATTTCTCCATCTTAGAGCAATATTTGATCCAAATTCATGTAATTGTTACATCGTGAATTATTACCTAACGTACATAAAAGAAGTCGTGTCAATGTCAATTAGACCATTTATATCTTGAGAAAGGCTGGATCTTTTTTTATTATATTTGTGTTTTGGATTTGTTTTCGACAGGTATTGGATCATCATCATCATCATCATCAGCCCTTTTACGCCCCCACTGCAGCGGCTCAGGCCTTCCTTATGGATGGTTAAGGAGGATGGGCCATGACCCTCCACGCTGGCCCAATGCGGATTGGAGGGTATTCACGACTACAAATGCAGCCGGGACCAACGGATTAACGTGCCTTCCGAAGCACGGAGTAGCTCGAGATAATAATTTTTTGGTCACCCATCCCGTGACCGACCTTTGCGAAAGTTGCTTAACGACAACGATCACGAGCCGCGGCGCTTATCCACTATGCCACCGAGCTACTCATTTCGTATGGGATAATAAGTATTAAAATATTAGGTCCTTACATATGAAATTGGTGTTTGGTATGGGAGGAACAAATAATGGAATATTTTTGAATATAATATATTTATTTAATTAAAGTATAAACCATTGTTATCTATGTACTTTTGCCATCTCATAGGTAGTTCATTGATCCCCTTACTAAAAAAACCATTCGGGAAACAGTAAAATCTTTGAAGGCGATTTGCACTGCCCCACCGGATTTGAAATTTTTCCCTTACAAGAAGTTATTCAAATTTCGAAAAAAAATGGTAATCTGTTGGAGCAAGTCCGGGGAGTACGGCCTTAGACATTCCAATTGAAGTTCTTCTAATTTGGTAGCCGTCTGTTGTGCAGTGTGTGGTCTAGCGTTGTCGTGAAGTAGCAGTGGCGAAGAGCGATTGACCAGCCTCGGTTGTTTAATAACTAATAAAAGTTGGCACCTTGACACTATTTAGATCATGGAAGTTTATATATGGTTAATAGGTAATCAAGTCGTGGACACTAACGCAAAATGCGCTAAACAAACTCTTGCGTAACTAGGCACCATTTTTGGTCTTTAGATTGAACTAGAAAGAAGCACCGAAACTGACTGGTTTAAATTAGCAGTCGGTCATTCTTTAACTAAAACATTAGTTATAAAAAATCTCGCAGAAGAAAAATATCAAGTGGGTAACTTACTTCAAAATATAATAGAATCGGTGCTAATAAGTTCATGCATGATCAAATACCGAACGTTTTCGATTGATGTAGAGGACATTTATATGATCTTTTCTTCAAAAAAATATTATAAAGCAGACCATAAATCGCGGAGAAAACAGAAATCATACATAAACTTACATAAACCTTCTTACCTTAGCTAATAACACACACCAGTGAACATCGTCTACCTGAAGTAAATGATTTTAAAGGAACAAGGGTCTTGAATTATATTATACCTAGATATCAATGCGAAGTTGATAAAGGCACCTTTACAATAAATGTATTTGGACTTTATCAATCATAAGGGACCATTTATGAAATATTTCTTGCACAATATATATAATTTGGATTAAGAAAAATTGTATAATATTCTGGCAGGTACGTAATCAGTGTTAAATAACTGTAATATTGAGAAGGATTTGATTTAAAGAATAAATAACTTAATACATAAACATTAAGATATTATATATTTGGGTATGAATTTCTTTGTCCTTTTTTCAAAAAGAACAATTAATAAAACATTAAAAGGAAAATGATTTCAATAGAGAGTTTTCATAAAAGTTGCTCTATTTAAAAATTAATAGCAAAATTTTTCTTTTTTTTTCCTTCATATATAAAAATAAAAATATTCTGAGAAACGGTTTTTTGTAAGATTGAATGAGCCTGAGCACAAAAGTGTTGAAACATTAGCATACATTAAAATCATTTAAAATCTGATATAAAACATTAAAATGGTTTTTAGTTTTTTATTGATCTAATAGTTATTCTATGAGAGTAATTTATCCTAATATGTTCAAGGCCTCCAATTAAAGGCGGCTCTGTATTCGTGCCCTTTTATACCTACTATTTATTATTATATTAGCTAATTGAGATAGAGACGTGCGGTCATTGGGAAGAGCATCTCTGAAGAATGATAGAATACGTTCACTCCGTACTCCGTGAATAGAATTTTATTTGTATATTATTTTGTATTTATCGTAGTTGTTGAGAAATAGTTATCAAATATTATATTGAGATTTCTATCTCTACCTATCATTCGTTTGATCTTAACGTAATGCAGAATTCTAGTTCTTTGTTCGGGAAGAATAAGAACTCTTGCTCATTGATATTCTTTTGGTGTAAACACTTAAAACGTATTTTCGTTTACACTAGGAGATCAAGAAAGAACGCTATGTGAATGAATTAATTGTTCTTGCTCTAGTTTTTTGTTCGTTTGGTTTAAATACACTTTTAGGTGAGTGCTCATATCATAATAATGTGGATAAAGAACCGTAGATCATCATCGTATAGTTACAGTACGTTACTTAATTAACGTTAATACTACACATCAGACGATAATCAATTCGGTATGTATGTGTTAACTTAATCGACAATGTAATAATAAACACATTACCCTTCGTTACGTTGCAAAGTCGTAAAAAATATATATTTCTTCATCAATTAAACAAGTAATTCAACTAATATTTCTTTTCTTCGGTAACGTGGCGTGCCTCAATAAGTTTAGATTCGATTTCCTAGGTTATAACGTCATAAGCGGTGTAATTCTGTTATTGGTTCTATTGAATTCTTTTCATTTTCCCAGCTTGATGTGCACACTTAACCAATCAGTTGAATGTCATTTTAGATACTAAAATTATTTATCTGTTTAATTTAAAAATAATTTACTCGTAACGTCACATTCAAATATTACAAATAAAAATATATGAAGGTTGCACAATTTTTTAACACAACGTAATAGTGCTATTTTATTTAATAAATTTTCAATTCATAAGTCCATATTTATATACAATAATATTCAGAGATGAATTCAGAACCCTTCATTTTACGCAAACCGAAAGAAGTAAGTCAGTAAATGAGAATGTAAGAACCGTTAGTAATTTCGATATGAATTAATAATAATGAAATTAATTATATATTTAACAAAAAAAGCAACTGCGAAAGGTCGTGAGGTTGAATCCCGTCTCAAAGGCCCAGCGACAAAACGGATTTCTTAAGCGTTTTCATTAAGAATATTTTCCAATTCAATTCAAATTTAAGAATGCGGAATTGATCAAATTATAATAAAGAGACTATAGATGTATATATATTTAATATACATATTATTACAAGCTTAAATATTCTTAGGATGCGTTTGTTTAAATACGCTTTCATTAAGAAGACATTCGTACAACTTTGACAATGTTGGATATTTGTCAAGTGTTAGCTGCAATCTGTAAATAAAAAGTTTATATTGATTTGTGTACGTACGGCTATTAATTTAACACAACACCTTTAGACTTTTAACAAAAAGACGATAACGATTCGTTGGTATTTTACCTTGTCGTCGCATTAAATAATTGTGGTACTAGGCATATATCAGCCAAAGTCAACTGGTCTCCGAGGCAGTAGCGGCCGGAGCTTTTGGTCAACAGATCTTCCAATGTTTTCAATCCACGATCACACCAATGCCTAGTGAATTTGTGGAATTGTTCTTCAGTGTCAAAATGATTTTTCAATGCGATGTTTTGAAGAGGTTGAATTCCGGATACAATAGTCTATGGAAAACATAAAAATTGTTAAAATGTACAGCTAGATATTTAATTGAACAACTCTATGTAACCACATTGTTACATTAGATAAAGACGACGCACAATTGATTTAATATTGTTACCAATTAATATATGATAAAAATATATTTAAGTCCTATTTATTTCACTACTTGTCGATATTTAAACAAATTTATGATTAAAACTTTGCCATACGATGACATTATATTTTGTTATCTTGGCCATCTTGCCTTTCTTCATAGAATTTCATTTTTTGTCGAGCACTATTTTCGAACTTCATTTCAATATTATTCCATTAGGTAACATAGTTACGTTAGTATTGTTATTATATTTGGATAATTTATTCATGACAGAACACCTCTTAATAATTAAAACTAGCCATCGAATTAATATTGTAAAAAAAAATCAGATAAGAATCATAATACTTCTATCAGATATAAAGTAAGGCATCATGTTGATTGTTTTTAATATCATAACGAGTCAACAACACAACCGTGTTGTTGACTCATGAGCTTCCCAGTTAATGAAATGGTAATTTCAAACATTTAGCTCCGACCAACTTTACTTTCTTCATTCTATAACAATGGACCTTCAATTTTATATCTGTAACCATTAAAATTCTGTAATATAAACTTATCCAAACCTTTACGAACTTTCATCCTATGTTTTTGTCTACTTATACTTATGTGAACCCTTACCTGTACTTTTCATAGTTTTTCTTTATACATTTTACCAATTCTAAACATATTAAAACACTTATTTATGTATTATAACACAAATTATAGCTAATTTTAATTGTTTTGACAGAATTGACATCAAAGTTTTTCTTCGTTGCTATGGTTATATTTGATACTCTTCATGAAAATTGACTCATTGTTTGTCAGTTTTAGGCATTGAAACTCTGTAGTTTTTGAATTTTTAGGGTTCTAATTTGAAATCATTTACTTCTAAATTTGAGTTCGTCTTCAGGTATAAATAACCTCGCTCAAATAGTTCTTCATCACTTCAACGGCAACAGTTGCCAAGTTAGCTTTTTGGAGCTCATACAGAGCTAGCTAAATTCTTAAAAGGCCTATTTCCCGGGGCCGACTGCCCCGGGAACTCTTCAAAGTTACGGTCTCAAAGTCGCATGACATCTTTTTGGCTTTAACTAGACGACAACAAATCAATACTCCACTATAACCTCCTACGCTACTTCACTCCTGGAGGCTGGCTGCGAGTAAACGCCTTAGGCCCGAGCTGCTGCTCAGTTCTGGGCTACCGAAGAATCCCCTGTTCGACGCATCGAGACTACGCCTCGCCGATTTACGCTCTTGGTTCTTGGCTGCCGAAGAATCTCCAGTACGACGCATAGAGACTACTCCTCACCGATTTACGCTCTCAGTTCTTGGCTGCCGAAGAATCTCCTGTTCGACGCATCGAGAGACTACGCCACGCTAAATTTACGCTCGGGATCCAGACGCCCCTCAAGACTGCTAAAGTACTTCATCAACGGAACTTCACCGCTGACCCACGCCCCTTCACCTACACTGACACTCTCACTCACACTTCTACACTTTTCACCTCACTAATCACCTCGTCCCTTTTTTTTATTTTTTTGTTTAATGTAAATAAATAATTTAATTTGATTTATCATCTTTTAGTTATTTTTATATCTTGTTTCATAACAGGTCGTAAATACCGCTGGCGACAAACTGTTCCAGAGTTTGGCTGTGCGAGGCAGAAAACTTCTAGAAAAACGCATAGTTGAGGACGTCCAACCATCCATATGATGGGCGTGGATTTCTTGTTGCGTGGAACGATGGCGAAAAGTAGGTGTGAGTCCGAACAATTCCTCGGAACATTCCCCGTAGTAAATGCGATACTTCTATCGCATTTACTACGGGGAATGTTCCGGTAATGCACAGATATTTTAACGAATGTAGTATTTCATAGTGGATCAAAAAGCAATTTAAAATTAATTGACATTAGATGTGAAGGATAGATACGAATATTAAGAAAAACGAAGTTCTAGTTCTACTTATGTTAACAAATGAAAATGTACAATGTACGTATTATTTCATGGATGCATAGTATTATCGACGATTAAAACACTAATTAATACCAGCGACATTTTTTTGATACTAAGTTATAAATATTATATCCAAATACTTGAAATCAGTAAAATTTGTTAAATTATGCTTATGACTTTGATAAAACATGCCTTATAAATAAGCTTCATAAATCTAGTATTATTAAAAGACACACCCACCCTGTTTTGTATTAAGTCGTCAAAATTAGCTATAATTTACAATGAGAAAATTACATTATATTTATAGGGTTCTTTGTTAGTCAAAACTAAACTAGCCAAAACGACAGAAATGTAATCATAACGATACACCTTAATTTCACCGTATTTTCGAATTCTTGTTGTAATATTTTTATAGTAAAAATTGAATTACTTCAAAACTTATTCAAAACTACATATTATTTATATACACCCATAGGTGCATTAAGTAAAATTTTCAAAATAATGATGTCAATACTTTATGAAATATTTAATAATACCTTTTCCTTTAAAATACATAAAATGGCGGTTACAATGTTCTTCAAAAATGCTTAAAAAATCCACTTTATCCCTGGCAATGTTAGATGGGATTTTTTAAATATTTCTCATGAAGAATATTTTACAGTATAGCATTGTGAATGCGATATTTATTAAATATAATAATGAAAATTAGTAGTTATTAAATTATTAGTTAATAAAGAGTATTAAATTATAGAGTCTTAAAAGTATTAGATGGGTTTAAGTTTCTTTGCTTACTTTTACGAACCGTCTATGGTATTAATTGTTTCCTTTTAACGGTTCTACGAATTAAGTAGGTATTAGAGAACCTTATTCATGTTCACATAAAAATCTAACGCAAAATAACAAATATAATACAGGTAGAATACTCGTTTAGAGAAAATAGATGTTTATTGTTACTTGTAATACCGAATAGATATTAGGGGTTAAAGTATGATATTGCCGTTTTATTGTAATAGGTTCCTTGAATTGACATACAATCTTCATGGTTTGAGGTTTTCGAAAGAAACTTTTTTCACATGGTTTATATGATGTTCTTCTTTTTAAAAATGTGAAACATTTGAATATCGACTTTCAATTGTTTTTGTTATTCAACTTATTGTTAGACAAGAAATATTGATACTGCGAAAATTAGAGTGATTTCTGAATACGAGTTCCGATGCAATAAACAAACAGCCCGCAATATCAATATTGCGTTTGGAGAGGGGTCTGCTAATGAACGCACCGTGTGATTTTGGTTTAAACGCTTTCGTGAAGGAAACTTCAGCTTGAAGAACGTGACACGTGGAAGACCGCCCACACAGGTGAATAACGATTAATTAAGAGAGATCGTGGAAGCCGATCCTAGTCTTACTACCCAGGAATTAGCGGCATGGTTTAACATTCCCTTACCCACAATATTGACTCATTTGCGTCAAATCAATCAAATAAAAAAATACGAAAAATGGGTGCCTCATGGTTCGACTGATCTGCAGAAAGAAACACGTGTTGACACTTGTGTTGCCTTGTTGAATCGGTATAGAAATGAAGGAATATTGGATCGAATTGTGACATGTGATGAAAAGTGGATTCTTTATGATAACCGTAAAAGAAAAATGCAAAGGCTGACCACAGGTCAAACGCCATAACAGTGCCCTAAAGCAAAACTTACCAATAAAAAGGTGATGGTATCTGTTTGGTGGTATCAGCATGGTGTTATTCACTATAGATTTCTCCGATCTGGTCAATCAATAACGGCAGATATCTATTGTGCCGAACTCCGAACAATGTTGGCAAAACTAGCAGTAAAACAGCCCCGACTCATGAATAGATCTTCACCATTATTGTTCCATGACAACGCGAGACCTCATACAGCACAAAAAACCGTTTTGACCCTTTAGGAACTGCATTTAGAAACTATTCGTGATCTTCCGTATTCTCCAGACCTCCAACGGACTACCAATTTTTTTCGTGATTTGGATAATTATCTACGTGACAAGAAGTTGTTTCCCAGGAGGCAGTATAAAATGCTTTCACACAGTTTGTGCAGCCTAGATTCTTAGAGTTCTATCGCAAAGGCATAAATGACGTTCCTATTAGATGGCAGCAATGTATAGATGATAATGGTAACTATTTTGTGTTTAATAAATTTGTAAAAATAAAAAAAAAACAATTTTTATTTTCAGTACAAATCGGCAATTTCATACTTTAACCCCAATTATTAAAGAACAATTAATTAAGAGCTATTATAGTTTGCAATCTCTTAAAACCTTACCTCATTATAAATAAATTGAAAAAAGTAAACATTTGGTTTTCCGAATGAAGTTTTTTACGAGTTTAAAAGACCGGATGCTATTCGCTAATTCAAAAATAGGTTTATTGCAAAGCAATCACACAAATTGAGTGCCACAGGTTGTTATATTTCGTAATGTTTTCCTCAGAGAAGGATTTAAATAAATTTTACATAGTAACAAGAAAATATTCAATAATTACTGGAATCAACTGAAAGTGATTTAAAAATATAATATTGTGAAATTATTTTGCCTAGCTATTAAATTGTTTATTTTTATTTAAATAAACAATAAACAGTTCACTGAGACCTGGTTTTTGAATTAAGAATCTGAAGTTGAGCACGTCTCAAACCGTTCTTAAGCCATTTTAAACGTTATTTAAACATGTTATGACACCTGCACTTTCTGTAGATGAAAGAATTTTGAATATCGGTCAAGTTTCGGAGCATATTCAATGCAAAGAAACAAATATTTTCTCTTTTAGATAATTGCCTTTCATGTGACATGTGTAATTTGTCAAAAAGGGGTCAAAAAGAGGTCATTGACACGCAATAATGAGGAAGTATTAAAAAAAAAAGTAAGCACTATAAAGCTAGCAACTAGCAAAAGTTGATTTTTGCAGGAAACGAATGGACCAAAGATAGTCATTTCCGTTCTTATGAACTTTGATATCAATACAAATACGAAAAAGTACAAATAGAATATGAGTTGTTTATTGAGTTTTGAAAACTAATTTACTTTTAAACATGAAAGAAACCCGGAAAGGTTGTCATGGAGAAATCAAGAACGTACCGTGGCGACATCTAGACATATTTCGGAAACAATTTTTTTTTAAATACTTCCTCATTGCGTTTGGCAATAAATAGTATGAATGTTTACCTCACAAATCTCAAACATACGAGCTTTAGCGAGAGGTGGACTTGGGATAAGCTTCGGTTCTGGTCGTGTGTCATCCAAGTATTGAAGGATAGCCATGGACTCGATCAGAGTTACACCATCTATTAATGATAATAAAATACAGTATAGCAAATTAGCAGTTAATTTAATATAGCTGAGATCATGAATGAAGCAATGAATGAATATATATATATATCGACGCTGGAAAGCAAATAAGTATCCTGTAAATTCAAAATGGATATTTTTCCAAAAAAGTATTTTATTTCCGTATAAATTGACTTAGAAACACCTTATTTATTACCATGGACGTTCATACGAATTATTTTTCGAAAAAAAAGAAAGTTTAAAAAGTATATTATCTTGAGTTATTCCATGCTCCATGTTGAAAAGGCTGTTTGTAGGACTGTAAGATTTTTGATTTAGCTACTAGAGACCTAAGAAGTAAGAAGGAAGGAAATGTAAACATGCGTTGGACATATAAAAGTATTCCGATTGAAAAAAGGTTTATTTCGAAGCCCGTACATACGATCCTACTATTTTATGAGTAAATATCATTTAAAGTTTACAAAACTTTGACGATGTGAACAACCCTCGTCATTGATTAGTTAGTCGCAAGTTTCAGTGGCCTAAATAGTTTCAATTCTCGAGTTTTTATTGAATGGTATCTATTAAAGACGCGTTCATTAAAAAGCTGTTTGAAGTTATTGACCGGTATATTATTACAAACGATCGTTTTACAAGCTACGATTATTTCCTGACTATACTTACCTGGTTTTATCAAAGAAAAAACGGTATTTAAAAAAAATGTATGTAATATCGTGTTTTATCCATTGTCCCTTGGCCTTAAAGATAAATTAAACCAAGCCAGTAGAAGTAAAAGTTTACATGATATATTTTAAAGGTAACACAGTGTTATTTAGTTCAATATTCTGTATAAAGCGCGGCGTCGAATACAGCGATGTCATAACATTTGAATTTCAATTAAATAAAACCTACCTAAAGCTGCGCTGTTTTTGACGCTAATTGTAAACTTGTTTTTGTTTTTTGCAGAATACTAAAGCAAAGATGCTTAATTTATAATATTTTTCATAAAATAGATTAGCTTCTCTATACTTCTCCATAACTACGTGGATTTTGAAAAGAGCTGTAAGATTCCATAAGATTCGTTAATAGATATTACATTTATCTAGGAGTTTATTTAACGATTTTTTTTTTTGCATGAAGACATGCAAAAATTACTATTTATGGATCATTTAATGTTCCCATTAAAAGTTCACATTGCGAATATTAATTTCTTTAGTAGATATTCAACACGTTCAGATTTAGTTTTATTGACTTGCAGTAGTCAATTTCACCACATAGATACTAACTTCATTCGACACACAAAGTGGCCTGTCAGCCAATCGATAGCTGAAGAGTTGATTGTATATTGAGGTTGAATGCGTTTTCGTATAAGACCTCTTTGGAAGACTTAAGATTCAGCCAATTTCTTGGTCGAGTAATCTTCTGCTAGTGAAGATGTAGGCTACCAGAATATTGTTGGCGGTAAATTGAGGGTACTCAATCTGTACAAGGGCCGTTGTTGTCATTTAGGGTTGCCAGTTTAGGAATTTCGTCACTCTTATTTATGATTTGCAAGCTCTATAGTAGCGAATTCTACTAATGTTTTGTTAGTGTAAAAAAACGGTTGTTATTAAAATCGAGATTGCATTAATATTTACGTCAAATGTTTTAGGTACATAAACATTTCTTAATTTGGATATATTTATTATTGATGATAATGTATAATTTTGTCTGTCAAATAAATTGTTTATTATTAAATAAAAACAGAGGCTACAAACTTTGATTTAATAAGGTACTGTTTTTTTACAATCTTCGTTTAAAAAATCCACAACGGCTAATCCTGTCATGTCATTGTTTTTAGGATACGTCAGCGAGTGTGATATTAAATATGCAAAGCCCTAAATTATGCATCATCGTTGTGAAAAGGATGATTTATACATACTGTCAGTTGCGCATAATTATAATGAATGAATTAAATATTATTTATCATATGTAAGTATATATATCATTATAGCTGTAGACAACTTATTGTATTATGTTAAATGCTGAGATCATATAAGTTGAATGTGTAAATAACCAGCAACCTTATTATTCAAAAAACACTCTCAGAGCGTTATTAACAATTTTTCGAACTATTTTTAAATTATGATATAGAATCCATATATAACTTGCGGGAAAACACTTTGAGTGTTTTCCCGCAAGTTATATAAAAGAAGACCGAAAATTTATTATATTTAACATATATTATCATTTTAAGTTCGGCGCTAAAGTGACCATGCATTAATTTCTTCTTTATGACGTCAATCTTTTGTATACTTATTTTAATAGTAATATAGTGATCGTGCGAATATTAATAATAATTTTTTATTTCAGAGATATGACTCTATAGAAAATGTTAGTAACTTTTTGTAACCATCTGCGCTTAAATTAGTAAAAAAAATTAGTGTTAGTAACAATAGAAATTATATTTTAACATTAGTTAACAAAAGGCAATAATACAGTTAAAAACTAGTATGCAAATGCATCCAGCATGTCAATATGCGACTATCCAACCAACCAACTTTAGAATATAATAAAAAAATGCTTAAAAATCCACTCTAATCCTGGCACTATGAGATGGGACTCGAACACCTTTCGCAATTTGGGCGATTGCTCTAACCACTGACCAGGACCTAACAGGATGTAATTCTATACTGTGAATTTTCAAGCACTTGTTACTTTTTTCGCTACTACAGAGCGTATTTTCATCAATGTTCAGGCATTCCATCCAAACAGCCGAAATAAATATTTTTACAAATACATATTGAAACATGCGTTGAGTATCGTATAAGTACATTCAATGCATGTTTAAATACAGAATAGTAAAGCGGAACGAATTATAATCGTTATTTAGTCAAAAGCTTAGTCATGGGTTCGATATAGCTGCGACAAGTCTCGAAGATAATAGATGCAGCATGCACTGAACGCGACTCAGCCTAGAAGATACGTGTCATTTCTAAATATGATTGATGGGATGCATATTCTCCACTTTATAAGCTGATGACAACTTTTTGTAGAGATATTGGTGCAACTATAAATTGAACGTTATTCAGGATCTGATAAAACCGGTGCAGCTCGGTAGCGTAGTGGATAAGCGCCGCGGCCCGCGATCGTCATCGTTAAGCAACTTTCGCAAGGATCGGTCACGGGATGGGTGACCAAAAAAATATTATCTCAATCTACTCCGTGCTTCGGAAGGCACGTTAAGTTGGGCCAGCGTGGAGGGTCATGGCCCGTCCTCCTTAAACATCCATAAGGAAGGCCTGAACGTCTGCAGTGGGGACGTAAAAGGGCTGATGATGATGATGATAAGATAAAACCCGCCAATTTACCCGTGATTCCGTAGCTGTCCAGTAAATTTCATGACACGAATATCTTTAGCATTTTACTACTAAACGATTTAGTAAAACTTGATCGTGAAAGTTTCAGCTAGCTTATGGATTATTAATTTGTCCACGGAAGATAAACAATTTTGATACTTACCGATGACGAGAGAAGGTACTTTTTGCGCTGGATTGATGGCACGGTATTCCTCTGAGAGCTGAGTACGTTTGCTTACGATGTCCACAGAACGCTCCTCAAATGGAATCCTCTTGAGTTGTAGTACAGCACGCACGCGCCAAGAACACGACGAGAATTTGTATCCATACAATATCGCTTTATCTGCCTTAAATTAATCTTCGTTATTATACCTGATGGTTAGCTCGCTCGGTCTGCGATACGGTTGTTAAGCAACTTTTGCAATGGGCCGTCATATGATGGGTGATCAAAAATTAACCAAAAGTATTATCTCGAGTTCCTCCATGCTTCGGTCGGTACGTTAAGCAGTTGATCCCGGCTGCATTAACAGTTGTTTAACCCACAATTCCGCATTGGACTCGCGTGGTGGGTTATGACCGATATTGCCTATTTGATTCCATCCATAGGGAAGGTTTGAGCTATAGCAGTGGGGATATTAATGGGCTAATGTTGAATATAACCACCGAAGAAATTTTTCATTCCATTTTTGTCATTTTAAAGATGCTGTTAATCATAGTCACGTCACATTTGCTTTTTCCTCACTGCATAATTTTGAAAACGGGACATTTTTGCGTCTTGGACTTATCTTCAAGGATACCAGGACAAACTACCCAAAAATGGAACGTCACGTTATGCATATATCATTGGGTGTGGAAGTTGTTGATATCGCAATTGTATAGTTAAAGCATTGGTTTTCGCAAGATAACGTGTGTTTCTTTATGTACAAGTAGCTAATTTATATTAAAATTTCTCGATATAAATAAAAAACTAAATGCCTTTTGGTGGTAAGCGAATCAATTACAAATGCAGATGTTGTTAATAAGATTTTTTAGAGAAAAGTTATTAGAAAATGATATAGTGTTTTTATTTTTATTATTTAGACTTGTCATTTAGACAGGACAATGAATTGATATTAAAATGCAATTAGGATATTTTATAGTTTGTTTTCATTGACATTTAATACTGAATATTTGTTACTATTAAAAGTTATTTATAAATTCCTTAGCGAAATATGACGATGAAACCGATAACTATCAACATATTTGATTTCCGAGTTACCCAACAAATCAGCAGTATAAACACTAAAAGAGAATCAAATAAAAATATAGGTAGAACATTTTATAGGTTAGGCACAGTGAAAGTAGGGTTAGGTATTTGCTAGTTTTACGCTATTTTTATTTTCGAAGCATCTACGTTGACTTATAAATAAAGTATATGGAAATAACATCTTCTATATCTGCATGTAATATATGAAATAGATCTTACTCACTGCCATCGTTTATTTACGTTGGATCCGGAAAATGAATGTGTTCACTATATTATATATTCTATTCTAGGTTAGAATTTTTATTCAAAGTGTATTTACAAGTAATGTTTTGTCTTCTTGTCTTATCATTGAAACTTGTTGTCGACAATATTGCATTACGCCTTTCGATAACATTTGATGGTGACGTATTCGTGCTTATTTGCTATTTTGTAGTTTTAAGTGTTAAGTCCCAATAGGTACCGCGAGATGGCACTAACAATATTGTGATCGATCGATTCCAAGGTATGTAAAAAGTAATAAGGCTGGGGCCTCAAGACAAAAGAAAACAAGACTAAAGGGTTTAGCCGGATACGTATGACGAGTCGGCCCCCAAATGGGAATCGATATTGAAACTTATGTTTTAATATAGACTTGATGTTCAAACACGATTTATGTACTTTTCGCGACCGACTTCCGCTTTGACCTTGAGATAGAGAGCAAAATATCCGTATGCTTGACTATTACTGAATGTGATATATCTCTGAAGCTAATTAAGATAAAGAAGTGAAACTAACGCGAGGTGTTAGGTTACATTACAGAGTATATCACATATATTTTTTTATAATTTTTAGAATAAAAAATTACATTAAAAAAATAAAAATAAAAAAAAAACATGTTTTTTTTTCTGAGTTCTCTGTGACTTACAATCACGAAATTAATATATGTTATGCTCCTTTGTGTGCTCTATCACCCATAAAAATTGCGTGAAAAAAAAGTTGGTGCAACACAACGAAAAAAAATTATATGTGATTCGCGCCTTGTAGTGTGAGTGTATAAACAAACAAGTTCGAACTTGTTATCGAGCTGTTTACTGCATCGTTTGTTTAGCTAAAGTAGCAGTCATTTGTATTACACAAGAAGGCAGTTTGGGACTCAAATTCTGTCATAGGTATTTTGTATCAGCATTTTGAAATTATTAACTATCGAACCAAATCATTATTAAGTAATAATGTCGAAAAAGTGTAAAAATTGTAACAAGTACCTGTGTAAGATTCCTGGTTATAAAAAAATTATAAAGAATGAAGAAGAAGCTAAAGTGTTTAGTGACTGTTTGAATAAAATCGTAATAGTTAATGATATTTTTTGTGAGAAGTGTCGACTTATCCCATATATTAACAAAAAAGCTTCTACTTCTAAATGTGCAGCATTTAACTTGGCCGAAATAATGGACGATCAAAATAATCTCTCAGTACAATATGTGAAATCAGCACCTAATATCATCAAAGCAGAAGTGAAATCAAGACATATAAATAGAAAAGTCTATCGAATTTACATTCACTATATTTCCGAAAGTAATGACTACAATAGTATTCTTCGTTATTGCTGTGCTTGCCCCAATGGCAAACGTACAGTGGGATGCTGTTCTCATGTAGCAGCTATTATTTATTATCTATCATATGGATGATATTTGTTCAAAATCGTACGTCCTGCTGAGGTCCTAACTAAGTTATTTGCGACTCAAAGTGTTCCGATTGTAATTAATTACAACAGTGACGATGATTAATATTTTGTTTCTTGTATTTTGGTAGACACGAAAAAGTAATAATAATAAGTATTGAACACTGGCTGTTTTTTTTTTTCATTTCTTTTTTAACTATTATCCCATCTCTTAAGACTAGTTATTTATGTTTTAAAACAAGCTGATGTGAAATTTCGAAAAAAAAACAATGATGTAATGTGAAAACCTTATAATACAGGGGTATACCATAAGACAGAAATCACATATAATTTTTTTTCGTTGTGTTGCACCAACTTTTTTTTCACGCAATTTTTATGGGTAATAGAGCACACAAAGGAGCATAACATATATTAATTTCGTGATTGTAAGTCACAGAGAACTCAGAAAAAAAAACATGATTTTTTTATTTTTTATTTTTTTAATGTTATTTTTTATTCTAAAAATTATAAAAAAATATATGTGATATACTCTGTAATGTAACCTAACACCTCGCGTTAGTTTCACTTCTTTATCTTAATTAGCTTTAGAGATATATCACATTCAGTAATAGTCAAGCATACGAATATTTTGCTCTCTATCTCAAGGTCAAAACGGAAGTCGGTCGCGAAAAGTACATAAATCATGTTTGAACATCAAGTCGATATTAAAACATAAGTTTCAATATCGATTCCCATTTGGGGGCCGACTCGTCATACGTATCCGGCTAAACCCTTTATGCGCCCGTTAATGAGGTAGACGAGGACAGAATATAATCATATAGTAAGAACGAGTAAACTATTACGATTATTGTAAAAATGTCCCGTAAAACTCTAGGCTAAAAATTACTAACATGTATATCAATTTTCCATGGATCTCCATAAAAGGAGTTTAATTACAACAAGAGATAGAAGAAATGGGAAATTTTAGCAGAAACTTATTATTATTTTCTATGAAGAAAATAATGTTATTTTTTTATACTAAATAAATGGAAAATAGGTTGGTAAATAAGTTTTGGCGTAGGCACCTACACTATTACAGTACTATTAATAAAAAAGGTTTAGCATCAGAGTTAATTTTCGCTTAAATTACAATTTAATAGTTCAAATTCATATTATACAGACAATAAACAAACCTACTACCATCTAGGAGTAAATATTACTGCCGTAGAACATCGAACTAGGTTAACCTTTGCCAAGCCACTGTTTGATAATATAAATCTTGACTAATAGTGCTTAAGTGCAGTTTATGCGTAAATTTTCTCCAACACTAAAACTTGTTTATTAATAACACCTTTAAAATCTATTTCGAATACAGCGAATACATCTTTGAATTATATAAATAGTAGGTATCTAATAAATAATTCAAAAATCGTTTGACTTACAAAATATTTTACGGCTGAGTACCTGAATTATTGGCTTTATGATTACCGAAATTCGACCTTACCTTTTCTATTGTAACCTTTGTAATTTATCCTATGAACAGAATTTAAGAATAACATTATATTCATGTGACTATGACGGTCGTGAAAAACACGTTGTTTTTTATTCATATAAAAAATATCTAGATATTCAATTACATAAAGTATGAACTGGTTTTCTCGGAAAAACGTATTCTACATTTGAGTGTTATCAACAAAAACAGATGTATTGTTTTTAAAACAAAATGGATAAATAACAAAGGCCATAAGTAACCCACGCGGTATTTTCAAGGGCTATACTTTCTTTTGGTGTCATTCTTTTATTACGTAAGTTGATGTTGGTCAAAAGCTAAAGACTCACTTGCCAGTTTCCTATGGAGCTGAAATTTGCATACTTACACATAATTAACTTGAACGATAATATATTAATATGGCGTAAAGCTGATTTGATGGCATCACATAAAAATAACTACCAACTCGGGTAAAAGTAATAATTATATGGAAGAACTCGAGGCAATGATTTGTGTGTTTGGCTGCGAAACTGTTATTATGCAACTTTCGCAAGGTCGATCATAGGATGGATGAACAAAAAATTATAGTAATTTGTTTTAAATTTTTTCGAGCTACTTCGTGCTTCGGAAGGCATATTAAGACATCTTAAAGTGTAGAATTATGGCTAGAGAGTTATGCAGGTGTACCGATCTATCTTTTATCAACTTTCCCCTCTCTTATTTGATATTGGTTATGAGGTTGATAGAAGTAAACAGTTTCATTTGTGATATATACACTTATTTGTTATTTTAAAAGTTAAAATTAAATACAAATAGAATAAACTTTTTATTCTATTCGCCATCCAATAGTAAGGCATTAGGTTGCATTTTCAAAACTGTGGTACGAAAGGCCAAACGTCACGCTACACACCACCACCTTAAGCAGATCTCTGTTAGAAGGGAAGTTCTATACGAAGTGCAGTCGGTACAAAGTCCACAATGACAAATCTAGACTTACTAGATAATCTAGACTTTTGATGCAACGATGTGCCACACTGTATATATATCCAATTCTTTTGTCAATTTCATCCAAATCAATAAGAAAGTAACAAAGTTGATGTAAGAAGGTAATTAAAATATTTTATTTATAGTTTAGGACTCTCATTTAGATAGACGACCCATATGTATTTTATTATCAGATGAAGGTAAATTTTCATTTATTGTACTATATTTTAAACCAAAAGGAATTGATTATTAAATAAAAACATGGACGCTGATATACACGGTATTTATTTACATAATATTGATATAGTTAATTTATTATTATCGCTATTAAGGTTAGTAAAATATTTCACTAGGTAATGTTATAGACACAATATGCGTGGAAGTATCATGAATAATAATCTTCACAGAATTCCATTACTTTATGTATTTTAGAAGACATTAAGCGTCAATAATTATATGCACATTTAGTAGTATTGCAACAGTCGATACTTTTCTTATCTAATATAATATTGCATACAATGTTAGAGCAAATATTTACTATTAATTAATTCATGTTAAAATACTGTAAAAATAGACAATGAAAATCTCGCATCATTAAAATTATCTAACAAGTAAACGATTGTCTAATTATTACAGACAATTTATAAATCAGTTGGTCAATTTATTGTACTATTCAGCTTCGACTATAATCATTATTATTGTACGATCTAAAATACTTTACGGTATCCTTTGCCAATTCCAGCAGATGCAATCATATATTTCGTTAATTCTTGTTTATAGGATTCGTGTTCGCTTGCCACTTTTTTTCGTTATATTGTTATATCAAGAATAAATTGAATTTTAGAAGCAGATTCTATATGATTCAGACAGAAATATAATACTGAAAATACACCTAAATTACAAAGTATACATAGAAATGTAATATTTTATGCACGAATGGTAATTATGTTGGTTAAATTAGGTTAATTTGGTGTTCTTTTCATTACAACCATTTAATAAGTCCTAACTCAACAATCTGACTAAAAATTCAAGATTGCCTCTGAATATGAGCACTATTTTTTATATATTGGACACTGTAAACATAATTTTAACATTCAAATTATTTGGCAAAATATACGTTTGCATAGCCATACCCTACTACTGACCAACGAAATCGGAACGGAATTCAAAATAATAAAGTATGAGCCATTCATTTCAGCCCCACCGTAATGGTGAACCAGGTGGTCTCATGAAGGTGGCTCTAGTTTCCGCTGTCAAAACACCTCCTCCTCCGTCGCCTTCAGGGAGACCATAGAAGGCGTGGAGATGCCGCCTATGCTGGAGTTCGTGACCCTTGTGGTTGAAGCTTTGGAGTCTGCTCCACAGAGAAAATATCCTCTTCTTCACAGCTCGATTCTTCGTTATGGAGTTACCTACGAAATTAATTTAAGAGTTGGTTCTTGTCTATGAAATCAGAGATCTTTATAAAGATAATATATAGTTTCTTTCTTTTATGAACTAATTTGGTGATAAGTTGTTTATGTTTAATTTTATGAAGAAAGTTGGGTTTGAAGAAATTTTTGGAACATAGTGACGAATTACCTGGAATATCAACGTTTTGAAGTCCAGACTCTTCCTCTCGTTTCACCTTTGTCACACTTACTTCGGGGTTTTTATCGTTTTCGTACATCTCTTTCTTGTCATTGGGAATGTATTCCGGCTCTGATAACGAAAAGTGTGGGGCGCTATTTGCGTTCGTGTTCTTCAATTTGTTATTCAAACATGCTAAATGGATTTTAAAAATTAAGAAGGGGCTTATGGCTGCTGTCTCATAGCCGTTTTCATCTTTTGTGGATAAATGAAATTCATTTGTTTTTAATTCATTGTCAAGATTTATCTGTGCTGTATCATCATTGTAATCATAAGGACCGCCGGGATCTGGGTTTCGTTTATCGGTATTGTGATGTTCGTACAAATATTCGTGGAGTCGATCTAATTGTCTTGGATAATTGTGCCATTGTTCTTTTCGAAATCCTTCTCCATTATACGCACCTTCTCTATTAAAAATGTACGATTCATCATCAGGTGTATTATTGTTAATATCCATGTACTGCAGTTCATTTTGTTGTTTCTTATCAAGGGGTGTTGCGATTGATATTGTATAAAATATATCATTTAATATGTTTCTAGGTTCATTTCTATTACTAAGTATATTGTCATTTAACTGGCCTTTTAAACCAACTGGTTCACTTTCTAGTTGATTTATGGATAATACTGGAAGTACGTTGCTTGATGAAAATGCGACTGTCGCAAGAAGTAGCACAGGAACTAGCGAATGACGTATCTGAAACAACATGAGAAAAAACATTAATTCATGCTTAATAATAAAGCTTGTTTGGCAATTTGCAGGTATGCAAGACTCAAATTATGTTTTTATTTTTATTTTAAATTGTTTGATGAATAAATCGTCTACTTAAGTCAATATTAATTTATGTTAACACGTTCACTGCCATTCTTAACTTGACGTAGATCGCCAAGTGTAGATGTAAGTTTTTAAAGTTTCCTTACACATAAAAAAAGGCTAAATAAATTTTTTCAATAATAAATATATCATCAATAACTCTTACTTCAATTTAAATAAATTTGAATTGAATCAAATATTGGAAATAAAAATTGCATTGTGAATATTGCCATACTAGTGTTGTATTTTGTTACCGGAACCACGATGTTACCGTAAGATGACAGACCTTAATAATTGTTAAAAATTAATAATGTATATATTTATAGAATTCTTTAGAAAACAGAGATTGCCATATTTTAAGGACTTTTGTTGTTATAACAAAATAGAAGCTTTAACGTATTATTTTTACGGCAAATATATATCAGAGAAATAACTTTAATTGTTGCGCTAACGCAAGCACGGTGTTAACTTGTTGCAGATAAACGACTAATCTTCTTTAAAATTCGTTTAATTTCTCTGGCGCCTAACGAGTAAACGGTTTAGACTTTCACAAACTATATCTATATTATCATTTAGATCAAAATTCAGATGTTAATTTACGTTTGACTAGAATTTGAGATTAGTTCCTTGGCATCAGAACACCTAATTTGCATGCCCTTCGTTGTTTTGCAATCACATAACTTTGGTATTTGGTATATATTTAACACAAACTTTGGGATAAAAGCACTGGCGTTAAATTATATAGATATCAGACGCATCTACATATTTAGTTATGGCCTCTAAAGTGGGGTACAGTATATGTAGATTATTTTTGCTTGTGTGTTCATCACCAAACTATTGATGTCCCACTGCTGGGGTTTAGGCATTTCCTATAAATGGAATCGTATCAAATCGAAAAGGGAAAGTGGGCCATGACCCACCACGCGGGCTCAGTGACAATTGATGGGTGTTAACGACTGCAGCCGGGACTAACGATTTAATGTACCTTCTGGAGTACGGAGGAGCTTGGATAATAAATTTTTAGCCACCGATCCCATCACTGGCTCTAGCGAAAGTTGTTTAAAAACTACTGTGGCATCGAACTTCTTTCTCCGTCTTATAAATTCGATTTAAGTTTTAGTATGTATTTTTAACTAAAATTCGAAGTAAGAATTAAAAATGTTACTGAAATAATTTAAATAAACATTAGAAAAGCTTGTGTAATTGAAATCTGAACTAAATTGTTATATATCCAAAAACACCTAAACTCGACAAGCATAATTTTCTATAATACAAGCTGAGAGAGTTTCCCACAACGGTGGTCATGACGATTATTCGAGGTTTTGTTTTGTTTTGTTAATAATTTAAAGATCAATTCAAATAAAACGAAATGCAAAAAGTTTGCTTTACCTAATGTGAGGCATGTTACACACTTATAAATGTAAATAGAGAAAAAGTTTATTTGTTAGAATCGAATAACTGCAATGGGATCCTCATATTAACTTGTCAAGTAGACTGAGTTCTACAGCTTTTGCTGTTAAGAAAATTTGACTCTTGACAAATGTTGAAAGGCAAGATGGCCTATTGTTGTGGGTTTCTGCGGCTCGCATTCAAGATATTTTTATTCCGCAAAAGGGAGTTGTCCCCGCTATATATAATTTACAGTCTAGGGAATCTCTCAGAGATATATTTAAAGAAATAAATATTTTGACTGTTGCCTCTCAATACATCTATGAAAATATTATTTACGCAAGAAAACATTACGATTCCTTCACTTAAAAGTAGTGTTCATAATCTTAACACAAGAAATAAAAATAAACTTCCCGTTCCGAAGCTCAGACTTCAAAAACCAGAGGATCATTTCTAGGTAAATGCATTGCTATGTTCAATAAAGTTCAAGAAAATGTAATTGACCTACCCGTAAATAAATTTTAAAATTCATCTAAAGAACAATGACTCATTATATGTACTAACCTTTGTCCTATAGACTCATTTATTATTGTTATAATACGTACTATTATGGTAATAACATGATTTATGTAAATATCATTACTTATGATGAAGAGCTGGTAAGTTTCTTTCGCTTGATATTTTTGTCAGCTAAAAGACGTCAAGAACGAGTGGTAAGGGAATAATCTTTTTTGGAACATTCAAAAGTGCTCTTTAACTTTCAATAGGAGTTTTATGAAAATATTACGAGCCAAAAGTTTGTTTGATAGGCAGTACCCGGGAAAACAAAAAAAGTTTAATTATCTGTGGTTTAGTGCAGGATTAAACTTAATGAATAATTTGATAAATTGCCTTTTCACATGTTCATAGATTTTCTTTTATACGATATTTAATATTTCAAAAATAGGTATTTTTAAAATATCACACAAAGATTTATCAATTTATTATAAATGTAGGGTTAAAAATTATTTTTTAGTGAATAGTTTCTATTTGACTTAAATATAGGGCTGAAATGAGAGAAGCGTGTCGTGACGCGAATCGTGACGTCATCAAATTCAATCGTAAAAAATATACTGTTCGGTGTCGGAGTCAGGATAACGGGGAAGGAAGCAATAAACGTAATTAATGGGCCTCCAAAGTGGCGTAATTAATGATGGCGCTAGACGACGACGACGACGAGAATATCTATTAGGTGCCGATAGCGGACTTGAAATATGCAACCTCCTTGAGAAAATAAAGAATATAAACGACCTGAAACAAACAACCTCCTTAAAAAATTGTACCTAAATAATAATTGTACCTATTCGGATTCTAATAAATTGAGACCCTCATATGAGGGTTTTGTGAATTAGGGTCGGTGCATATCTGACAGAAGATGGTCTATCACAAAACGTTAGAACTAACATATTACTATAACGTCATGATTAATCAATTTTGCATTTACAATGCTATACTGGATAATTGATCAAGTATAATACTCGTAATTAGAACAAATTTTCTTCTTAATCGAAAGTTTAAAATATTCGTAAAAAAATATTTCTTGCGGCTCTATAGTAGCGAAAAGTAGCAAGTGCTTGAAAAATTCGTCAGTCAGTTTGGTTCTAGTCCCATCTCAGAGTACCCGGGGCTGGTATATTACTAAAGTATTTTTCATTAGAATATAGTAGGTACTGACGTTTATTAGGATGGATATATTTATGTATGCATGTTTGTTATTCTTTCACGCAAAAGCTACTGAACTGAATTTTGGTATACGGATTTGGTAGACGAATACTAAGCCTGAATTAACATATTTGCTACTTTCTATACCACTAAAATACCAGGTAGATGTTTGGTATGATGATCTGCTCTAGTAAATATGTCTCACGTTGTATCCTTTAGTGAAAAATAGTATTAAAGACATGATTCTAATCCCTTATTACTCGTATTCTGTTTATTTCCCCGCTAAAGCGTAAAACTATCGTGTGTAAAACTATCTCTGTGAAAATAACATTTTAACTCCTTGTATAACGATCTATTGTTTCTATATTTATTTCTAAGGTCTCTATTACCTTGGGTAGTTGGTCGGTAGGGTAACCACAACTATCCAAGATAATAGACTGGTAAGATAATAACTGTAAAATTATTTTGAAAATATAATCTGAGCAAAATATGTGTTGGTGTCTAATATTATTCATGGTATGAATTATCATTATTAATCAAGGAAAATGAATCAGAATAATAGTGAAGTAAATGAAGCTATCGCCGGCAGTACCAGACTAAGTCAGAGCAGGACCTATAGCAAATTTTTTTTAACGGCCCTTGGTTTGTTTGAGATTAAGTATATAAAATGAAATTAAAAAAAAATTCAAACAAACTTTTCATGACTTTTAACATTTTATTGTACAAACCGCCCCACAATTGTTCAGACTCAATCTGACTTAGGTACAATGTGAGTATCAACAGGCGCCTTCTTGTTTTTGAGGTTTGACCACAAAATAATGGTACGTTATGGTTCATGGCTTTGCAAAATAAAATGAAAATTCTTCCGATCACCTAATAACGAGTATATCTTTCGTGATGACAAAGACGAATAATCGGAATCAGTAACTGTGCAATCGAAACAGAAAAGTCGTTTTTTGCTTTCCGAATAACACAACTAATTTGTGACTTTAGTTTTATTTATCAGTTTAAAACTGTTGTTAACCATAAATGTAAGTTTAGGCAGAAGCGTGGCTTATTTTATTGCTTGCATTTTTTAACATTGACGGAAAAAAATTGTTCAGACCATAGCGTGGTTCCTAATTGTGCGGGGCCCCCAAACGCGTGGGGCCCGTAGCATTTGCTACTTTTGCTACGTGGTTAATCCGGCACTGATTGATGGAACATTAATGCCTTCACAGGAATAAGACATTTCATTCCTGTGTCTTTGTAGATAAGATCAGTATATGTGGAGAACCTGTTCCAACGAATTACTTTTGTCCAATCGCAAAAAGATATCAGGTGGTTAGGTTTAGTTACTAGTAAATAAGTGAATCAGAGGAATGACTGAAAGAATCTTGTATTATTGTCATCATCGATCTATGTTATGTTATTTTCAACCAGCTGTTTTCCTGCGACTTCGCCAGCGTAAATTATAGTCTATATCATCACTGTATATAATGTAGTTTCTTATGCTAAAATAATTTTTAAAATCGGTAAGTATTTCCTGAGCATATTCATTACTGAAAACAATACAAACAAACAGAAAAATCAAATCTTTCCTCTTAATAATATGAGTATATAATTTATATATATATATATATATATATTTTATTTTATTTTATTTATTTAGGGAAACAAACAGTGCATTGCACAACCTATGACAATTCTCATTTACAAAGTATTAGTTCAGTACATACACAAATAATATGTATCCACAGCTTATACCATAACACAGATTTGCTTACAAGCTAGATGCAAAAAATAAAATAAAACATAATCCAATATCTTCCCATTTTCACTGACACTTTTAGTTTTAATGTAATATTACAAAGAGAAAAAAAAGGCGAAACCAACGAAAGTATAGATATTAGATAGATATTTCCGAGTATAGATATTCGAAAAAGTTTTCGTGGTATATTCTTTGGTGGTAACTAATAAAGTTTTGGTGACGATAATAAGAAAAATGTTAAATGCGTTTCATATATGCGTATGTTAAATGCGATCTATTATCTATTGTGTCGTATGTCGAATCGGCCTGTAAGAACAAAATTGCTTCCCGCTGTCTGTACGCGGGAACTTTTTATCTCCACAACGGATTTGAATGCAATTTTTAACTGACTCCAAAAAAGGAGGAGGTTCTAAATTCGATTGTATCTATTTTTTCTGTTTGTTAGCTCATAACTTTTTACTGTGTGGATCGATTTTAAAGATTATTTTTTATTTGAAAGCTAGAACTTGCCGTGTGGACCCATTTCAATCTGGTCCAGGCATCTATGACAAAACCATATGTCTTAAATTTGCATTAAGTATGCGTGATGTTTG